AAAACTTATGCAAGTTTAATGTCAAGGAAACTGAGCATAATATCCTCCAAAACTATCCATCGCTATTGACCCTCTGAGACGTGATTTGATCATTTGGGCTTTGGATTTGAAACCTCAATGATTTTATGGGTACTTAGACTAAAGCCAAGATTTAGCCTTTAAAGAAGTTCAGTCTCTGAGTTAGCTTTGTAAAGACAGCTCAACATGTGACAATACAATAAGTCACTCAATGAAGTAAATAAAGGTTATTTTCATCTATTGGAAGAAATATAAATATATATGTTATACACTGGAATAACAATGGCTCTGTAGTAATTAGATACATATTTAAGCAAGGTAAAATCACATTGATTTTATTGCTTTAAGGAGAGAAATGTTGCCTTTTGTGTTTTCTGGTAATGGGATTTGAAATTAGGGCCTCATGCTTACTCAGTTTGCTTGCCCTGGAGATGCTCTATGACTTAAGCCACACCTCCAGCCATGGTTTTACTGGTTATACTTGAGATGGAGTCACATACTATTCTGCCCAGGTTAACTTTGAACCCTGATCTTTGGGGCTCAGCCCCCTGATAAGTTTGAATTACAACATGAGTCACTGGCTTAAATAAAACCCCGTGACTTAAATAAAACCCTGATTCCCAAACTAATTTGTGTGTCTGGGATTTGGTTGTAATAGTCCTACTCTTCTAGCGATAGTTTCATTTTATTATTTTGAGAACATGCTAAGTGAAGGGAAAGATACATCTTTGGAAGACAGACTGTAGCAAGTAGTTGGACTATGCTTGATCCAGGAAAATATACACTAGATGGTTGCAAAGTCTTACTTGCAGGATTCAAAATAAAACCCCAGAGCATGTGCAAAAATATTCCAGGTCAATGTCCTTTTTGAAACAAATGACAACACCTCATGTCTGTGGAAGATAGTAATGGTTCCCATGAAGAAGTTAATATTTATCCTTTAAATCACAGTCTAGGCCCACTGTGGTAGTGAACACATGGAATTATGAAAGTTGGGCATGACTGTGGGGCTAAACTTGTGTCTCACTTTGAGGATATGTGTGTGTATGAATGTGTATGTGTGTTTAGTAACCAGTGGGGCAGGAAGCAAAGTGTAGCTGACTCTCTGTGGGACCCTCATAGGATGGGAACAAGCCAACAGTGAACAAGTTAGAGTCCTCATAGCATTTTCTTAATGGTCTAGAATTGAACTTGGGACTCTGTATACACTCAAATTTATCACTACTTTCCCTTTTCTATAGTCTTGAGCTATTTGTAACCTTGTCCCTACAGTGTTACAGGGAATAAAAGGGAAAGTCTTTTTATGATCTAAAGATATTTCAACAGCCATGAGTAGTAGCAGTGCTTGTTTATTTTTGTTGTTTATTTGTTTGTTTTGTCTGTCATGGGGCTTGAACGCTTCAGCTCAAGGCCAGTGCTCTACCACGTGAGCCACAGCGCCACGTCCAGTCTTCTGGTGGTTAACTGGAGATAAGAAACAGGGACTTTCCTGCCTGGGCTGGCTTTGAACCTTGATCCTCAGATCTCAGCCTCCTGAGTAGCTAGGATTACAGGTATAAGCCACTGGCACCTGGCTAGCAGTAGCACTTATGCCAAAACCAGATGATGTTTTACTTCAGCAATAACCAGTACAAAAGCATGGCTAACCACCCAATCACAAAGGAAGGAAACAAGCTAGAACTTTGGTAAACCATTTCTGCACAAAGGGAAAAGTGGAAAAAATTTGTACCACGGTGAGAATTCCTTCTCAAAATTTTTATTTATTTATTTTTTTATGTAGGTCCCAGGGCTTGAAGTCAGGGCCTGGGTAATATCCCTGAGCTTTTGTGCTCAAGGCTAGTGCTTTACCACTTTGAGCCACATCTCTAGTTCTGAATTTTTGGCAATAAATTGGAGATAAGAATCTCACAGAATTTCTTGCCAGGGCTGACTTTGAACCTTGATCCTCAGATTCCAACTTCCTGAATAGCTAGAATGACTGGTAATCTCAAATTTTTAAAGATGTACCCTTGACAATTTGGTAATTTACAGAGAAGTATAAACATGTTTTCCTTTTTTGTAATATTTGTGTGTGGTTTTATTTTTTGTTTTTATCTGGTCCTGGAGCTTGAACTTAAGGCTTGATCATTGTCCCTGAACTCGGTTGTTTAAGATGAATTCTCTAGCACTTGAACTACAGCTCCACTTATCGATTTTTTTTTTTTTTTTTTTTTTTTTTGGTGGTAACAGTCTCACGAACTGTCCTGCTCTATCTAGTTTTGAAACTGTGATCCTCATATCTCAGCCTCCCCAGTAGCTGGGATTACAGGTGTGAGCCACCAACTCAACCATGTAAGTTGTTTTTAACATGTTCATTCTAGAAAATATAGGATTCTAGCTGGGTGCCAGTGGCTCACGTCTATAATTCTAGCTACTCAGAAAGCTGAGATCTGAGAATCACGGTTCAAAGCCATCCCGGGCAGGAAAGTCTGTGAGACTTTTATCTCCAATAAACCATCAGAAACTGGAAGTGGCACTGTGGCTCAAGTGGTAGAGTGCTCACCTTGAACTGAAGAGTTCAGGGATAGCACCCAGGCCCAGGGTTCAAGCCCCACAACTGACAAAAAACAAAAAAGAGGAAAATATAGGATTCTTTTAGGCAAACATTTTTGGAAGATGTCAAAAAGCCCAAAAATGTTTGTTTTGAGTCTTCAACTCCTATTTCCTGATTGGGAAGTATTGTTCTATTTCTCCCTATGTTAACCCTATTATAGTAAAATAAATCCTTGGTAACATTTCTGAAAAAATTAGTCTGTTGAAGCCTTTCTAATGGTGTTAAGGATTTTTGAAATTTGATTTAAGAAAGGATTGGATACGGTTTTCCCTGCCCTGGCTGGTTTTGAACTGCAATCCTCAGATCTCAGCTTGCTGAATAGTTATTACTGCAAGCATGAGCCACTGGCACCTGGCTAACTTTAATTTTAATAAAATGGAAATGTATTCATGACCTTACTCCTGTAACTGTAACCACCTCTGTACAGCATCTTTACAATAAAATAAAAATTTAAAATATATAAAGGTAAGGAAAATCAATCCTCTGTTCCTTAATATTGATAAATACTTGAAAGCTCTTTTCTCCCGGAAAAATGTGTAAAAATCTTTCCTTAGGAGTAAATAACTGATTAGATTTTCATTGCTTCAAAGGAAAGAAGAACATAGAAATTACTAGAAGTATATTCATTTATCAATATAATCTTGTCTAAGCACATAATTTCTCCCTGTGATATACAGCTTTTCCTACATCCCAGAAATAATCTCATAAATTTTGTTTAAAATATGTGTTAAATGTTTGAATGGGTAAAAAGGATGAGGAAAACTTTAACAATGACAGAGGAATTTATTTAGAGAAGGAAGCAAAAAATGGAACAAGAAATGGAAAATTTGTTAATTCCCTTAGAGTAACTATCAGTATAAATACACACACACACACACACCCACACACACACACACACACACACGCCATACACACACAGCTATTTGTCTGGTATATCTAAAAATAACATTGCAATAGGAGTTTCAGAGTGATAATGTTGAGAAGCCAAGAGCACTGTTAAATATTATTTGTGAATGATGACAAAGAGAGAGAAAGCACATACCAGACACGAGTCCCCTGAAACAGGAGGAATTTATAAAGTAGTAAGGATACAGTAAATAAATAAGTGTGCCTCATTCCATACTCCAAAAAAATGCAGATTTAAGCCTGAGCCTAGGTTAGTAGGGGTAGAGACAAAGGGAAGTAGGAGATGTCTACAAGGAAGGACAGCTGAGATCCTGCGTTGTGTTCAGTTACAATTACTGCCCTTGCTTTTTCATTACATAATTTAGCAGCATAGAACAAACATACCATTTCAGAAGTTTGTTTTGGCCTCAGAAATGGACAGTTTATTAATTGTGGAAGGAGAATGAGTAGAAATATTTAATTTTTTAGAGATAGAGAAGTAGATACATTAAAATAGAAAGAGAAGAAGAGCTCAGGGTAAGGAATTTCAGTGATGAAAATGGTTCTAAAACACAGTGGGCTCAGTGGACTGAACAGAAGAAAATTCTGTTTTAAGGGCAAGTCGCTGTTCCCCCTTCTTGTCACTAGGGAGTTCCCAACCAGAGAAGGAGAAGCAGAAGTACTTACATGTGCCTTTGTAGTAGTCTTCCAATTAAAACTCTTAGTTCTCGTAATGTTACTCTGCAACGTAGATTTTAAAAAGCTTCATATCAATTTTTATTTTTAATTCATTGAGAATTCTGCTTCCATTTCTGCATCATAAGACCAAGCAGACTACTTATTGAACAAGGGTCTGCTTGATTCAGTTCTTTTTAAACATCATTTATTTGGCTAGAGGTCCAAACTGTAGAATCAAAAGAACATCCCTAACCCTGCACACCTGGAAAAAAAATTTTAAAAAAAGATCAAGAGCAGACAATGGAAGGACTATTTATTTTCTAATCAGGAAGTTGAATCCAAACCAGGGGAGGATGATACACTTAGACCCAAGATGTTAGGTTAGCTTCCTCCATTCTTTCCTTACAATAATTCTGCGCGCACATGAGATACAGGGGGAATGGCATCCACACCTTCTTAGGTAAACCACAAGAAAAAATTCCTTCCTCTTTCTGTGTCTCACTTTTCCATTTGTGCAATCAGAAAATTGGGGTAGTAAGCTGTAATAAATTGCCAAAGAGTCCAAAAATTGTCTAAAGTTGTCATAAACCATGTTTTTAGGAGCCTTATGCCCTGCTGGTCTGTGACCAGGAGATACATACATAGGAGGAGGGCTGAGAGTCTGAGGGCAGACTCCTAAGCTAATGTCAGACTGCCAAGGACAGGTACATCAGCCCTCACTCAGGCCTCACTCTACCAGACCACACCCTGGCCTTGGCCAATCTGCTTCTAAGATTAGGGAGGGCAGAAGCCAGGGCTGGGCATAAAAGCAGGGGCAGAGCCAGCTGCTGTTTACACTTGCTTCTGACACATCTGTGTTCTCTAGCAACCCCTGACACAGACACCATGGTGCATCTGTCTGGTGAGGAGAAGGCCGCTGTGGCCGCCGTGTGGAGCAAAGTGAACGTGGACTGTGCTGGTGCTGAGGCCCTGGGCAGGTTGGTATCTGGTTATAAGGCTGGTTAAGGAGGCAAAGGGAAAGTAGGCAGGGGAGATGAAGAAGTCTTCTGGGTTTTGATGGTCTTTTGTTCTCTTTTCAACTGCTCAGGCTGCTGGTCGTCTACCCATGGACCCAGAGGTTCTTTGACTCCTTCGGGGACCTGTCCTCTGCTGATGCTATTATGAACAACCCTAAGGTGAAGGCACATGGCAAGAAAGTGCTGCATTCCTTCGATGATGGTCTGCATCATCTGGACAACCTGAAGGGTACCTATGCAAGTCTGAGTGAGCTGCACTGTGACAAACTGCATGTGGATCCTGAGAACTTCAGGGTGAGACTGTGGGGTCTTCGTGAGCGTTTTCTCCCTTCCTCCCTTCTGAGGTCAAGGGAACAACATGAGGAAATATTATAGGTCGAAGGAAGTAGCTTAGCTATAGAAGCAGTTGGCAGCCTTCATCACCATAGACTTCTGAGGACTATTTCAAGTTCTTTTCTTCTACACTTGTTCAAAATAGTGTGTTATTTTTTCCTTTCATTTATTTTTTAAACATTATAACTGCAGGTTTTCAAAAGCTTTCTCATTTTAATCAGATTTTGAGCTACTGTGACATCTTTCTTTGAAGACAAGGAGAGGAAAATGTATTATGCTTCCTTATTCCATTCTAAAGAATAGTGATCATTTATTTTGTGTACTAAGATGACAGTTGGACATGTAGCTGAATGGTATGGTGACAAGATTAACCTGTTAAGGGCATGTGTTTGACCCTCCACACTGGAAAAGAATCAAATCAAACAGAAAGATGATATGGAAAATATTTCTCCATGAAATTATTGCTGAATGTAGAAGAATTCTTCACAGTAGCAGGTGCTAAGTTCCAGCTGTCATTCAAGGTGACAACCACAAGCATAGCTTTCGATGGGACTGACATGCTCCATGTCCCCTAACCACGAGTATATTTCTTCTTTCTTCACAGCTCCTGGGCAACGTGATTGTGGTTGTGCTGTCCCGTAATCTTGGCAAGGACTTCACCCCAGTGGCACAGGCTGCCTTTCAGAAAGTGGTAGCTGGTGTCGCTACTGCCCTGGGTCACAAGTACCACTGAGATCCCTCCTTTTCCTGCTATCTGCTTTCTATAAAAGGTTCCTTTATCCCCAGAGAACATCTACCAAATATGGGGAAAATCATGATGGACCTTGAGCATCTGGCTTTTGCCTAATAAAAGACATTTTCTTTCATTGCAATAGGTGTTTTTTTTTTTATTTATTTCTGCACTGGTCACTGAGAAAGGTGTGCGGGAGGTTTGAAAGCATTTAAGAAGTGAGCATTTCATTCAGATCTTGAGAAAATAAATTGTAAAAATGGTGAGTTAATGAGCAGCTGATGAGTTGGAGACACCAACCCTGCTGTCTAGTTCTAGTTCTTACTCAGAGCTCAGGGAGGTATTCAAGTGAAGATTTGACTTAAGGGTCAGAGTTTTACTGTGCTTTATTTAAAATTCCTTCTGCTGCTTCTTTTTTTGAAACCCTCTTCATGATTATTGTCACCCCAGAGGCTTTCCCAATAGTTCAGAACCCCTAGCCTGCTAAGATTTTCTGCTTAAAGGCAGCACTACTTCCTAAAAGTTTCTTTTCTTCCCTGATTGCTCCTCATCCCTTGTCTTCTCTTGGCCTTAGTTTCCCTCCCCTAATGCCTTAGAGAGTTCTACTTGGAGGAGGGCAGTTGGGAGGAGGTGAGTTAGACTCTGCAATGCTGGTCTCTACTGTGAAGGCTTTCAGAGCCCACACATGAAGGATAAACTGTTAATGGTGTATAGATGGAGGATAAAAGTGAAATGGAAAGGTGGGAGGTTTGTGGTTTGTTGATCAATAATGTCTTAATCTTTCCATTGGTCTGGCAACCTAAAGTCACTTGCTCAGAATGTCTACGTAGTATCTAGGAAGTGACTAGAGTTGGGGTTTCTCCCAACTCTGTCTCTGTAAATATTAGCATTAATATTAACTATACTTCCTGCCTTCAATTCCTCACTTAGTTTCCATTTAGGTAGATGGTGGGCTTCAGAAACAAAATATAACTTGCAATTGCTCCCTCTATACTCTTACCCAACTCTCAAACTAGTTTGTAGAGTCTGAAATTGATGTGTAAAGTTAAGTGATCAGTAATTACAGAAGGATTTGAATAAAGTTATATGAGATTACAGAATGAAAACTTCCAAATGAAAGGAAATTAGATCCTTGTGTACATTCTAAAGAAAAATTAAGTATTAATTAAATGCATACATGAAGACCAGAAACTATAAAACTTCTAGGAAAAATATAGGGAAGGATCAATTAACATTGGTTCTTACTGATTATCATCTTGAGAGAGATGGTTAAGGTAAAAAGAATGGCAAGTTTGAGAATACACACACAAACTCTCATACACACATATACACATATGCACATACCATGAGTCAGAGTATAAGATGTCCCTGAATTAAATGGATTTTTACAAAGTGTGTAGTAAATTCACACCAACTAGCTAGCCTTCCCTATCAGCAGTAGCAGATCTCAATGTGGTATTGTGGTGATGTGAAAATATTATCCACTACTGTTGATTTTGGTAGTCAGAAGAACTTGTTGATTCACAAGCTACATCATATTTGTGTTATATAACCTATTATATATAATATATACAATTAACATGCAATTTTCATCTTTTTTTTGTCAGTCATGGGGCTTGAACTCTGGGCCTAGGCTCTGTCCCTCAGCTCTTCAGCTCAAGGCTAGTGCTCTACTACTTGAGCCACAGCACCACTTCCAGTTTTCTGGTGGTTTATTGGAGATAAGAGTCTCACAGACTTTTCTGCTTGGGCTAGCTTTGAACCATGATCCTCAGATCTCAGCCTCCTGAGTAGCTAGGATTACAGGCATGAGCCACCGGCACCTGGCTGCAATTTTCATCTTAATATACAGTGTAGATGAATGCTAGCTGTCCTTCTGAATACTTAAATGTGTGTCTTTGAAACTTCAGAAAGGACTTTATGTGTTTAGGTAGTAACAATTTTGTTCATCCTCTGAACAAACTCTGTCCTCTAGCATTAATGTGAATCTTAGCAGTATTGAATCCAGGGAAAACATACGGAAAGCACAAGTTATAAGGAAGGCCAGATTCATGGAAGATTGGAATTAGCTAAAAGATGGGTCACTGGAGATATGAGTAAAGTGGAGAGGGATGTGGTAGAAAGAGTTTTTAATGTATACGTGTTTTTTTTGTTCCCTTTCTATCTTCTTCCCCCCATGGTATATCCCTTGTCACTGTATTTGATTCTGGCTCACAGAAGTAATTTTTAAATTAGAATGTTTGAAGACACATACCCATCTAAAATAGTAGTCATATCATTTCTAAAAAATAGTTTCCCAGTTGTTCTAATGAGTTTCAATGCATGAATATCAGAATACTTTTGTCTCTGGCATTCTGTAGCATTATGATTCCTTGAAGTTCAAGCATTTGGGTATTATTATCCAATACATCTTCACCTGTTAGTTACATTACATAAGAAAGGTGTGCCAATTTCAGGAGACAGTGACCTGACTTGTGCATACTTCAGGTTCTATCTGAAAAATATTCATCTTGGTTTTGATTAAAATAATTTATTTAATTTTGATTGATACCCTTATTTACATTATTTGCTTATTTTCCTGGTACAGGGAGTCCAGAGACAGCTGATTTCAACCTTCAAAGATAATGTTTAATGATAATTGTGGACTGAATTATGATAGAGGAATAATGTAATAGATGGAAAATTGCTGGAAGTATAGAGGATGAGATGGCACAGAAATTTGAGCTTATACTATTTGTGGTAACATTTAAAATGTAATTTCTTAGCAATTTTCAAATTAACTCTGTTATTAGTTTTCACACAATCATGTCCCATAGTCTTCTTAAATTTATTGTGTCTGTCTAACTGAAACTTTGTGTCTTTTAACCTGTATCTTCCCAAACACCTTCCTTACCCTGTTTTTGGTTAGCTAACATTTAATTCTTTTTTCTGTGAGTTCAACTTTAACACACCTTTTGTAAGATGGCACAAGACCTTTCTTCATCTAACTAAATAGAAGCTCCAATTCATTTTGAGTTCGTAGATACTATCATTGACACTAAATTTATTGAAAGAAGTATCTAGTCAAAATTCTGAGCATGTGGGAATGATTTGGAAAAAGTTGCTTTTAATTTAACAAAATCCAAGCTGAAGAAGTTCAGAGGCTGAAAGCCAATTGGAGCTCTAAGGGCACATTCTAAAGTCAAGGCCTTACATAGGAATAATTAAGTAAGTATTGTTACTATGCCAAAATTCTGCTAAAATCTCTTCTGTTTCTTTCTGCATGTGTCCTCACTTACTACACATTTATAACTTGCTACTTTTGTAAATATGTGTCCTTGGTTTAGTTTCTTTTAATATTTTAGAATGTTGTCTTCTCTTATGAAATTTAAGAGACTGAGGTTTATTAGTTTCAAGTTCCAAAGTGCCACTAGAGTTGGAGAAAGAAAAAAAGATGCAGAAGCCATATTCAACAATGAGTATTCTAAATTTTAAGTTATATTCAGTTTTTATTGTTTTCTTTTCCCCAGGAGTGAAAATCCAACCAAGGGTCTCATAAATGATAAACAAGCAATCACTGTATTCCTCAGCCACATCTCCAGCTCATTAAAAAAAATTCTCCCCAAAGGAGCACTATAAGATTTACCTGTGATGAGAGAAACCCAGTCCCACAGATGTACTCTACTGTATAAAACATCCTCCATTCCCTCAGGCATCGAAAGTTTCTACCTTGTAAGTTCTACATATATTTTCACAGATAACTTTCTGATATGTCTGTGGGATTTGAGGTGCTGCAAGGTGAGTGGGAAATGGGGAAAATGTTTTGATGAGAAAAAAAAAACATCTTATGTGATTCCATATTAAGGCAGGATGAGAGAATAATTCACAGTATCTGAAAGTAGACTACTAGAAGGTTTTGATTGTATTTTTTACAGAGACTTAATGAAGGATGACTGTTTTAAGGTGAGTTTAATAATCACTAAGACCTCCAATGGATGACATCTAAGGTGATAATAACTGGGAAGTTTGTTTGCCAAAAGGTTATATATGCTTAGACTGAAGAAGCTTCAGAACAGAGTCTTGATTTGCTATGAGATAGCTGAAGATGTTTCATGAGAGGAAGATGAAATCCTGTAGGTGAACAACTAGCTTTTATTGAATATGTTTCATATTTAAAATAGACTATCTTGTGATTTTTCACCATCTTATTTTAATGTATTTCTACCCATTAGCCTTATAAAAAACTGAGGAAATGACTTTTATAACTGGCTCACGTGTATGAAAGCTAATGAGTAACAGGTGGAGGATTTGAACTATGTTATGGCTTTAGATTCTGTATAATTGTAAGCCATGGCAAATATCTGTTATGGAAACATAAAGTTAGAATTGTGATGAGAAATTAAGAGGAGGAAGGTTTGGAGTATGAAGAAGTTCTACTTGACTGTTGCAGATATTCTCTAATGTGGCAGACAACTCTGGAAAACAAAAAGTTTTCTGTCACGGAATTGAAGAGATGAAATCATGAACATCAGGGATGGTGTAAAGGGAAGAGAGTTTTATTATGGAATCGTTGATTAGTCCTCATAGTGAGTTTGGAATGAGATGTACAAGTGCCTTTGAGATTTTAGATGCCGGAATCAGAGTAAGAACTGTAATTGTAGATATTACTATAGTTCTATATAAGTTCATGTGGAGAAGACCCCATGTTTCCCATATGGTTTACGTTGACTCAGATATAGAAGCATAACAGTGGCTCAACTTGAGTGAAATAGCCAAGTGAAAATACAGGGCCCTGAGTTCAAGTCCCAATACCAGCACATAAATAAATAAGTAAAAAATAGACTGATCAGAGGCTTAGTTTATGTGTGTACTGGCCCAAATGGTTTCAGAAAATGAACTCTAATTATTAAAAGAAAATAAATATATCTAGCCAGGTACCTTAAGATTTTACATGTTCTGAGATCTGATATTTCTTGTAGGAGAGACAAATTCAGGTCACAAGCAACCATGAGTCAGAAAACATTTTGTGTGAAGGTAAGGCGAAGCGCATCTTCACTAAACTATGTCTCTGGGTAACAGAGGTGGAAGTTTGAAGCAGGCACCAGTGAAGAGCATAAACACTGTGTAGGATGCACTTAAAATAATCAAGTTAAAAATATGAAG